TGGAGGTGGGCAAAGGGGGGAAAATGGGGACAGCTATAATAGTGTCAACAACAAATTTTAAAAAATATATAAAGAATTCTTAGCAAATGATTGGACTATTAAATTTTTTATTCTGATAGCTTTTAATAAATGGAAAATTATGATGACAGCCAATATCTCAAAGTTTCTTTTTCATAATGCTATTTTTTAAAACTTTATATTTTTATCGGTTCCAGAGAGAGAGAGGAAGGGAGGGAGGAAAAGAGAAATAAAGGAAGGGAAGGAGGGAGGGAGGGAAAGAAATAGAGATGTTGATGTGAGAGAAACATCAATTGGTTGCCTCCCCCATGTGACCCAACTGGAGACCAAACTGGCAACCTAGATAAGTGCTCCGACCAGGAATTGAACCTGCAACATTTCGGTGCACAAGCTGACACTCCAACCAATTGAGCCACATCAGCCAGGCTCATAATGCTACTTTTAAAATACGTTCTTAATAAATATTTTGACAAAATAGTAAAAAAAAAAAAAAAAGAGAGAGAACTATTAACACTGGTAAGACAACATAGTGGTTAAAAACACAAGCTTTAGAAATAGGAAAAACAGGGTCTGAATTCTTTCTTCTCACTTATTATTTCTGTGTTCCTGGGTAAGCCACTAAACCTCTCTGTGTTTTACTTCACTTACTATAAAATGAGTGTAATAATAATAGCTTTATAGGGCCAGTGTTAGTAATATGCCAAAGTAAATACTTAATAAATAGTAGCTATCACATCATAATTATTACATTACCATCAGAAAAATTCAGGGAAGTTACCTTTTAGTCAAACATTTACTGAGCACCTATCATAGGCTAGGAAATATGTAAGCACTAGGAATACAAAGAAAAAAAGAGTTAAGAGGACCCAAAATATTTTTCTTTCTTTTTTTTATTTTAATTTATTTTTTCAAATACATTTGTCTCTGCCTACCCCCCACCACTTTCCCTTGCCCCCCTCAGCTCTTCCCTCCCTCAGCTCTTCCCCTTTGGTTTTGTCCATGAGTCCTTGCTATATGTTCCTTGACTTTCCCCTTCCCTTCCTTTTCCCCGGCCCCCTCCCTCCTTCCCTCTTGTCTCTGTTGATTTCTTTTCCTTTCAGTGTTGCTGATGTTGAATTCACACTTAAAAGTTCATTTCAAATACAAACTTCATATTCTATTTCTTAATTTCTAAGTAGGGCAATTATTTTAAGTTTCTCCTATAAAAATTAAAGAATGACGTTTTTTTCCCTTTGAAAGGAAATAATAAGTTGTCAAGTTCAACCAATTAGGGCATGTCTGAGAAATCCTTGGAGTCTGGAAAACATGGTGAAACTTTAATTTGAAAGCAACCTGCAATTAACATCACCTTTCAAAATTATTCTCAAATTAGTAGAATGAATTATATTCGGACACAAAATACATAAAATGGACCAATCTGTTATATGATAATCTTTTTGAGAAGGTCTGGGCTAACCAATGTAAGGAATTAAAACCAAATTCAAGTTTGTATTTCATTTGCTCATTCCATTTAAATGACAGATGGTTTAAATATAAATCTTACTAATAAAATGTTTGCATATTCATTATGAAGCTGATTTCCTTATTCATTTTAGCAATTTTATTGTTTTTACTACATGACTGCCCATTTCATTCAAGGGCTTCTAAACTTCTGCCTCTCAAAGTATGATCACAGGACCAACAGCATCAGCATCACCTGGAAGCTTGTTAGGACTACAGAATTTTATTCCCCATACCAATCCTGAGTCAGAATTTGCATTTAAAAAAATTCCCCAAGTGACTTCTTTATTCATTGAAGTCTGAGTAGCATAGTTCTAAACTGCTGATTTTTTTTTACAGTGTTACCAAAAGTTTATTTGCTTTCAAGCTGTGGTTAATTTCATCTTCAGATTGTAACTTTTAATAAGAATAATCCAATTCAGACAAATAAAATCAATTACATACATATATTAGATATCCTATATAAAATATTTGTCTGACACTTGACTTACCTCTCAACTAGGACTTCAAATCTTAGAATTCTTGTTGTACTATTCATTTATTCTCAAGTCAACATCTTTGCCTAGCATATAACCATTATGATGAAAGTCTCTGTAATTAAACAACTAAAATGCTAGGCGATCAGATTCTCCACATAACTTCAGAAAAAATGAAAAAAAACCTCAAAACAGGTTCAACGAAGGTTAAACTTGAAACCTCTCTAGAGGAAAAAAAAGGCCAGAAGGACTCTATCCTCCAAAATAATATATTTTTATGCTTCACCTAACATTTTTTACTGAGGGAAGCACATATTTTTAAATAAGAAATTCACACCTAGTGCAATACTTTAGTTGGCTCATCTATTATTATTATTATTATTGCATAATAGTCACAGTGTACATAAAATAAAACAATTCTTATTTTCTCCTCCTCCTTTTTTTTAAATGACAAAAGTAAGCTGAAACTGATCACAGCAGGTAAGATAGTTCCATACATATTCAAAGGAAGGTACAAATGCTCTCTTTTCAAAAGCACTACAAAAGTCAACCTCGTCTCTTTTCATTGTAGCTGTGGCTTTTTGTCAAATATTTGAAAATTGCTGTTCTGTATAAGCAATTATGAAGAGCTTTACAAAAATAAGGAGAAAATGTAGTGACAATCAACTCCTTCAAATCCTCAAATGCCCATGGCCTCTGGGTTGCAGGATAGAATCTAAGAGTTACTGACTGCATCTCAGCCAATGCACCCAGCCCTTGGGAGAATGTTTAGTAGATGGTGTTAAGAGAAGATATCAAGGAATCTGTTGGGCAGTCTCAAAAATTAAACATGCTCACAAACATCCCCAGTTTCTTTTAATAAGATCCTATTATAAATCTGTTATCCTTGAGTTTAACTCTTTATTCACTTCATTTTGCATTTCCAGCCTATATAATTTCTCAGGATACAGCATTACACAAGAGTACAACTAAGTATTTAATGCCTTTTTTATGGTCCTAGACATACTGATTTTTAAGCTTTAAGTAGTGCCCTTTGCTCTAATATTCTAGAATTTGGCGAACAATTCATTAAGCCTTCTGTCTACTCACTTTCACAGCAAGGTCTCTTAGAACTATGCACATTGGCTCCACTGCCTCACCTACCGGTCACTCTTCAGTCCACCCCTATCTGGCTTCTATTAAAATCTCTCTTGGTAAAGACGATAAGGAACTTCATGTTGCTAAATCCAATAAACAAGCCATAGTCATCATTCTCCCTCACTTTGCAGCATCATTCAACAATGTTAATTGCTCTCTTCCTCTTGAAATAGCTTTCTATAGCTTTGATGGACCAGCACTCTCCTGGGTGCCTCCCAATTCCGTCCCTTGTCAATCTTTAGGGACCTTGTCCCCTCTACCTAACCTACAAATGCTTCCTTGGGGCTTGGTCTTGGAATCTCATATAATTTCATCACTATAAACATTCCCTTCATGCTGATGACACACTTTTGTGCTGACAACACATTTCTATCTCCAGACCAGATCTTTCTTCTGAGTCCAGACCGGCACACTCAACTACCTATTCAACATCTCCACCTGGATGCTTTATAAACATATTTAAACTCAGTACAGGCAAAACTGAAGTCTTAGGTTATTCTCTCATTGTTCATCCTCCAATGTTTCTCATCCTGAAACATCTACCCGGTTGCTCCTGCTAGGAACCCCGAAGTCTTTACTCTCACCACTCAAATCCAATCAATCTCCAAGTCCTATCTTTTGGGCCTTCAAAAAATAGCTTTAATATGTTCAGTTTTCCATCTCTACTGCCATCCTCCCCCTCACCTCCACCTTCTAGTCTGTCATTATCACCTCATGTACCACATTGCAAGAGCATTCTAAGTGATCTTCCTGAATCTACTCATATTCCCCTTCAATTTAGACTCCACACTTCAGCCAGAATGATCTTTCAAGGATGAAAAAGACTCCTACTTAAAATGCTTCAGTAGCTTCCTATTGATTTTAGAATAATGTTCATAAGGCACCTGCCTACCTCTCCAGACAACCTCATCTCATGCTATCATTTCCCGAGTTCTCCATAAGCACCAGCCCTACTCTTTCTCTCTGTACATTGCACATGCTGTGGTTTCTCCAGGTTCAGAGTCTTTGCACATGTTGTGTCCTCTTCCTGGAATAATTGTTCTGTTTTAGTCCTTTATCCACTGCTGCCCAAATCATACCAACATACACATGCACATGCATAATCCAAAGCCCCAGGGCCCACAGGCAATAGTCAAACTAGACTAAAAGAAACTGACTGCCTAGCAACACATAATGTTAAAAGATAACACCAGGGCAAAAAGTAATAATAACAGCAAACCCTTATGTAACTTTATATGAGGCACTGTTTTAGGTGATTTATACATTAACATACTCAATACTCACAACAATATGATGAAGTAGGTATTATTATGGTCTCTAAGATAAAGTAATTAAGGTACAGAGATGATAAGTAACTTCACCAAGGTCACAGATATTCAGTGGCAAAGCTAGAAATCAAACTGAGACCTTCTGTGTGAATGCTTGGCTGCCCGTAACTTGATTATGGACTAATCAACCCTCCCTTCCACATATGGGATATGGAACTGGTTTACATAACCATTCAATAATGGATAAATACTAATTTTCCACCATACTAAAAACATAAATGAAGGTAGAAATCATTTATATCTTGTTCATTGATGCACCCCAACCTCCTGAATATCTAACACATAACTGATGCTCAAATATATCTATTGAATATATGACTGTTCTTTGAGAACGTACTGGGTTCTAATCATGTCTTATACTACTATCTACCTAACAACTTTCTTTGTTAGCTGTCTGCTAACTATTCCTGGAGTCCCTAGGCGTCCCCTCCTCCTGTCCGTGTGGCGTTCGGGGACCAGCCGGTAAAGCAGCGAGCTGCAGTCTTCCCTCCCTCCCCGCTGAGGTGAGCTCCTCGTGGAATTTCCTGCCCTCAGGCCTCACCTTCCACGTAGGGGAAGAGGCCATCCCAGCTTCCAGGCCAGGCCTAGGTGGCTTTCCCGCGCCCAAGAGGATGAAACGACCATACCGCTGCAGAGGCCACTGAGCAGCGTCTCCACCCGGCAGCCCGACGCCCGCCTGCTTTTTTCCCGCCTCCGCCATGTCAGGCCTCCTGGCTCACACAGCCGGCAGGGGCCTGCCAATCACAAAGTTGATCAATCAGGAAGCGCGGTGACCCAAGACCCGCCCTCCCCTCCAGTGCAAGCCAATGGGCAGGCTCCAAAGACTCCTGCAGGGGGCTCTCTGGCTGTGGGTGTCGCTCTGGCGCTTGGTTACCTTCTCTTCTTGGTGGACGAAGTGGAGGTTGTGACTTCCAATTTGAAGTGGGGCTGTGCCGCCCATCGATGATCGTTGGTCCGGCCTCTGCAGCATTCGGGCCTCACCTTTCCTCAGGCAGCCCAAGTCACCATCGGGCGCTCTGACGGAGACATTTCCGAAAACTGGCCGTTTCCCTTTAACTTGCACGCGCTGGGCGTGGGACGAGGCAGCGTTCCCAGGCTGCCAGATCAAGCGTGTTCTTCCACAAGGCAGCAGCCTTTCAGACGGCAACGTCCCTGCCCACCTTTAATCCACCACAACACGGCCCAGTTAGGGTCATTTCCTCCTCACCCTGCAGCCGCCAACATATACTGCCTCCAGACCAACAAGGTCTCTCCGAAAGAACTTTTGGACGAGATGCTGCTGCCAAGAAAATGTGTGCCTCAAAAAGCAGGTACCACTAAATGACAGGTCTGGGAGATTTGTAATCGACAAAGCACTTCTACATCTGTTATTTCGTTTGTCCTCCCTGTAATCTGGTGGTGAGTTAAAGAAGTAAAAATGGAGGTTGTTGCCCCCAGTGAATAGATGGACGTAAAATAAGGTCCTCAGAGGAGAAGCCATTTGTCCCCGTTTACACAGACAGAGTTGAAGTGTGGACTCCACAGTCTATCCATGTGTCCACCTCTCTTGCAAAAAATGTAGGTATTCGTCCCGTCTGTCAAATTGGAAGCAATGCATGCAGAAAATGGAGGCCATATTAACCATGAGTATTAACCATACTCATAAAATTAAGTTATACTGCAAACCTTTTTTTAAACTATGCATGTCCAAGGGTATTAAATGCACAGACAATGGTTGGGCAGGTGGTAAGTTATTCACTCTGCACTGATTAGATATCTGCAGTATGTAGTTACTCTAGTGACCATAGTGGTTACAAAAATGGGTAAGGCATGCACCTAGCCTTCTAGGATCTCAGGTTCTAATAAGGAAGACAGACAGATACTCATGATACCTGACAGTGCCACATGAAGGTATGAACCATGTGCTTAAAGGATTCAGATTAAGTAAACATCTACGAATGTGGATGAAAATGGCATTACAGTCCTAACTTGAAGGGTGAGAAAAAGTTTCCCAAGGGAATCTGGGAAAAAGCTGGTATTTCATGTGGAGAGCAAGTGGAGGAGCAAAAGTTGCACTGAAGGTGAGGTTTTGGGGGAATGAGGCCACAAAGGTGAGTTGGGCAGAAAAGCACTGAACAGCAGCTAAGAAGAGTGAGTTTTACTTGGTAGGTAGTAACGAGCATGGAAAATTTGCATGGGGCAGTGGCAGTATCATAATGGTTGTCCAGGCAGGCTAATCTTTCAGAGGCATATAGAATAAAATGCATTCAAAGCAAGGGATATTTGTTACCTCTTTCCATTAGTCCAGTAGAGCTCGAAGAGGTCAGATTTCAGAAACTGCTTCTGAAGGTCCTTAAATGACACAGCAGTACTGTATTTAATATAGCAGTAAATGGTCAGAAACTTGATTTCAGTCCCAGTTCCACCACTTGCCAGCTGTGTGACCTTGGGGAAATCACTTAACCTCTTTGTAAAATAGGGTTAATAAATACCTACTTTACAGGATCATAGAAAGGATAAAATAAGATCATACGTGGGAAAATACTTGGTAAGTTACAAAGCTGAAACACATGTTGGCACTTTCTTTTTACAGGGTTAAAATGACTTTCTGTAGCTCCCTAAGGGCAGGAGGATGGGAATGGGAGTCTGACATTTGGTCTCAGAGGCACTCGCCTTCCAGGTCCAGGGCTGTGGATGCTGTCAGACACCCTTCACGGGCGCAGATGGCGCTCACAGTTGGCACCCTGTCAGTGCCCAAGGACACTCAGACCCCTGCTGGGTTCCCACCTGCAAACTCCCTTCTAGACAATGCACCTGTGCTTAAGCTTCTGGGGTAACCAACGTCTGCCAAAAACAATCATGGCTGCAAAGGGAGATTGAAAGCTACAGTTATAACAGAGGCCCTTTTAAAAACCTATGATATTAATAAATGTGACTTGAGCATTCAAGAGGTCCCAGATGCTGTACTAGGTGCTGGGGATACAGTAGAGAATAGCATATGTGGCTTCTGACCTCCTGAAGCTTACAATCTAGTAGGAAAGCAGAACATGGAGCAAATTACTCCCTATTTTTAATGGCAGTTGTGTTTTCTTTTTAAAAGACAAATCTGTAATATTTATTAGGGTATACTTTTATACAATAAAAAGCACAGATCTTCCATGTTCAGTTAGATAAGATTTGACATCTATATATACTCATGTAACCACCAACCAAAACAAGATATAGAACATTTTCAAAAGCTCCAAATTCCCTTAGGAGTTTCTCCTTCCAGTCAGTCTCCAGCTCTCAAGGGCAATGACTGGTCTGATTTTTATCACAATAGCCTGGCTTTTCTGTTCCTGAACTTAATGTATATAAAACCAGACAGAATATACTCTTTGTACCTGTTTGTTTTGCTCAGTATAGTTATCTTTTAGCTTCATCCATATTGTTGTGTATGTCAGTAATTCATCTGTCTTTACTGCTGAATGACATTCTATTGTAAGATAATATCGCAATTTGTTCATTCTTCACCTTTTGATGGACATTTGGATTCTTTTCTCTTTGTTTGTTTTTAAGCTGTAATGAACATTTTTGTATCAGTCTTTTTTTGTAGATATACGCTGGATTCTAAAGAGACATGTGTTTAGCCCCATAAAAAAAATGCCAAAGAGTTTTCATAGTGATTGTACCATTTTGTATTCCTACCAGCAAATAATGAGAATTCCAGTTATTCCTACTGACATTTGCATTATCAAGTCCTTTTAGTTTAGCAACTCTAGTGACTATCCAGTAGTAGTCATTAATTTGCATTTCCCTGATGATGAATAATAATAATGCTGAGCCCCATTTCAAATGGCTTAGTGGCCATTTGTATATCCTATTCTTTGAAGTGTCTGTTCAAATCTTTTGTCATTATTGATTTGTAGGAGTTCTTTACATATTCTGGACACAAGCCTTTGATGAGACTTTTGTACTGAAAGTATTGTTTCCTATTCTATGACATGCCTTTTCATTTTCTTCTTAATGTTTTTCAAAGAGAAGTATTTCATTCTGAGTGAATTCCAACTTATTAATTTTTCAGGTGCTTTTTGTCAGTGCATTCTGTGTCCTGCCTAAGAAATTTTCGCCTACCCTAAGGTTGTACACATATTCTCCTATGTTTTCTTCTAGATACTTTATAGTTCTAACTTTTACATCTAGGCATATGTTCTTTCTTGCATTAAATTGTTTGTGTAAAATAAAGTAGGAATTAAGGTTCATTTCCCCAATATGGTTATAGAAATAATGTTACACAGGAACACTTCTCAAATAATGACTGATGGAAATTGGTACATAAATACCCCAATTTCCTCACTCCTCAGGTGCGATAATTTTAAGTTTTGTGTAATACCCTATTTCTCAGAGTTCACCCAAGGGGTCAGGCTCCAGTAACTTGCATGGTAAGAATTATTTGTTTGGATAACTTTCCTTCCCTGTCTTCCTCTCCTAGCAGTGTCTCTTGGGATTACCTTTCAAATAAATTCCTTGCACTCGAATTTTTGTCCTGGGGTTAGCTTCTGTAGAACTCAAACTAAGACAAACAGGCAGATATTTAGCTATAATATAGCTACATGCAAGAAGATGGTACAAAAGACATTAAGAGGTGGAGAAGTCACTCTCACATCCAAAGCAGACCCTCAAATGCCTTGCTGACCAGCTGCAGCAGAATAATAGTATTTGGGATCAGGACTAATGAATGACAGTGACTCTGAGCTAACACACCTCCCTTTGAAGAGACAATTACCAGTTTAAAAAAAAAATCTAGCCCTTAAAGATAAAAAAAAATATGGTCATTTACTTTACAGAAAATCTTTTATTCCCAAATCTTTTTACTGTGTAACTCTATTTTTCAGGAAGCTTAAAAGACAGAGAGATGCTAGCTGCCTGGGTAGTCAGCATCACTGTTGGAGACAGCATGCAGCACTGGGTTTGGAATCCTAGCACACCCCTTTCAAAGCAGACCAGGGACTCCATGCATCCCCTCTCCCTAAGCTATTGAGTAAGCAAAGGAAGTGATGGCTTCAGTCTCCGTGGGTCTCCTAGGTGATAGAGAAACATGGACCCTTATTCCACCTTCCATATCTCTTAGCCTCAGTTCTGGGGACCACACAGAGTGACTGACAACTTCAGGGCATTGTTGGTGGCTGTAGGGTTTCCCAGAAAAAGCCCTGTTTGCATCCGCCAAATCAGATGAGGTTTCTCCGTAACGTCAGACCAGGGGATGCTGTGTCAGAAGGGGATGTTTCCATGGAACTCTACACTCACTGCTAGAAGATGGAAATACTTTCCATCTTCTACTCTGTATCTCCATTCCAGGTCATTGAAAGGCTTTCCATGTGGCTGGGCACACACAATCTCAACCTGTCCACAGGCTGCTGATTACTGACACGTGAAAAAAGATTAACACTGACTCTTTCCATTTATTAAAAGGATACAGCATAGCCCTGACTGGTGTGGCTCAGTGGGTTGGGTGTTGTCTCACAAACCAAAAGGTCGCTGGATCAATTCCTGATCAAGGCACATGCCTGGGTTGAGGGCCAGGTCCCGAGTTGGGGGCATGCAAGGAGGCAACCAATTGATATTTCTCTTGCATATCAATGTTTCTCTCCCTCTCTTCCTCCTTCCCTTCCCATTTCTCTAAGGATAAATAAATAAAATCTTTTTTAAAAAGCATACAGGATAATAATAAGCCAATACAAA